GGAGGAGAAAGAGGAGGGGGAGGAGACGGAGGAGGAGGAGGAGGAGGAGGAGGAGGAGGAGGAGGAGGAGGAGGGGACCCATTTTGAGCGACTTTGGACCAGGCGGGCGAGCGGCCCGTTGTCACAAAAGTTTGCGGCTCGGCACCGAGGCGCGGGCCTTCGATATACCCTCAGCGCCTTCCCTGCTCGTGCTGCTGCCCACGGCCTCCGAACGGCGACAATCGTATCCAGCCCCCTCCGGTGTCACTCGTCGTCACTCGTTCCCCGTGGTTTTGCTGGTCGTCGTCTCCTCCGCCGCCGTCGCCGTCGCCTGGGTCTTTGTCGCCGTCGCGGAGGTGGTCGTCCTCGTCCTCATCTTTGTCGCCGTCGCGGTCGTCGTCGACGACGTCGTCTTCGTCGTCGTCGCAGGGGTCGTTGCCCACGTGGCCTGCTCAGCGAGGCGCTCGCGGCGTGCAACGACGAAGGGCACCCAGACCTGGTCGTAGACCTGGCAGGGACTGGCCAGGCAATAGAAGAAGTGAAGATGTGCCTTATGCGGCGAGGGGGGACGGAGGGTCAATCGAGGAGGAGGAGGAGGAGGAGGAGGAGGAAGGAGAGGGAGGAGGCAGAGGAGGAGGAGAAGGAAAAGAAGGAGGAGGAGAAGAATGATCAGCAGGACTATTTCGAGGAGGAGAAGGAGGAGGAGGAGCAGGAGGAGGAGGAGGAGGAGGAGGAAGAGGAGGGTGAGGAGGGGGGGAGAGCGGAGGAGAGGAGAGACCAAATGATCAACGAGGAGGGGAAGCGTGGAAGGAGGAGGAGGAGGAGAAAAGGAGCAGGGGGAAGGTGGACTGAAGGAGAAGACGGGGGAGGGGGTTCTCCTCAAGAGCCTGGCCAGAGACCGCACCACGAGGGCGGAGAGGAGAGCTGGGCCGATAAGACCACTCCCTGGACGGCAGCTTCCAGGGAGCGCAGGAAGGGAAGCAGCACGCTTCTTGCTCTCCCCTCCCGCCGCCCAGACGAGGAGTGCGTGAGGCAGGAAGAAGAACGAGGAGGAGGAGGAGGAGGAGGAGGAGGAGCAGCAACACGAGGAACATGAAAATCAGGAGGAGGATCGTAAAGGGTACGTGGCCGACCCCAGAAGCTCTGGATCCAAACATGTTGACGTCTCTCTCTTACCTCCGCAGCCTTCCGCCGACCTTCCGGCGGATTCCGTCGCCAGGCCCGCCGCCGTTCCACTTCCGACGGCCTTCCGCGGGCTTCCGCCGAGGGCGAGGACGCGTCGAAGCCGAGGCCGCGAGGCCCTCCCTGGAGCGATTCTCGCGGGAGGGCGGCTTGAGACAACGGCGCCTCAGAATGTGTAGCCGGCTCCCTCCCGGGGCCCGAACGCACAAGCTTTCCGAGCTGCGTCCAGCCGCGGCGACGAGGGGGCCCCTTTGAAGGCCAACTACCGCTGTCTCAGCTGAGCCTCCCTGACGATCAATGAAGCGGCCCCAGACCTTTTGGGACCGGACCGACGATAGGAGGCCCAGAACATTGTGGACAGGGGGTCTTTCCATCAGATGTGCCAAACCAAACCACCCTCACTGATTACCCCTAATGCAAAGACAGGGACCTAAGTTAGGCTACGTCTTCATTGTGTCGTTCGGGTTGAGGGTTCTTCTATTCTCGATGACTCCTCTGACGCTCAAAGTTGGCGGCGCGCACGAGGGGGTAGAGGGAGGGGGAAGGCTTCTTAGAAGGGGGCTGCCTCTCAGAAGACGCCGGCCGCTCTTCTAAGAAACCAAGAGCTTGCCGTCTCTTAGAAGCACCCCAGCAGCTTCTTGGCAGCACGGAGCCACTTCTCAGAAACAGAAGCAAGGCCCCAAACAGTGCTTGCACAGAAAAGGTTTCTTATTTCTGCTCGACGGAACTGGGCCAGTCGGCCTGTCTGTCGGCTCCTAGCCAGCTGTCGCCGCCCCGTCGCCGCCTCGTCGCCGCCCATCACCTGGGCCGGTTGGCCAGTCTGGCGACTCCGTGCCGCCACGTTGCCGCCCCGTCTCCGCCTCGTTGCCGCCTCGATGCCGCCCGTCGCCGCCGTTTGGATCGCAACACATAAATAGCACAAAATAAAAACGCGCCTGCGGCGCGATTTCTGATCGTAAACAACACAGATTGCACTGCATAGCTTGTACCACGTATGATGCACCACATGGAGTGCACAATCTGTATTGCACAACCACATATGTTGCACCATACATGTTGTATCACTGATATTGCACAATATAACTTGCACAATGTACTTTGACAAAACCACATGCTTTAGGTGTATAGATTTATGCCAGACTAAGACCATCGAGCCACAAACCATGCACCGCATAGTTAGGACCACATCGATAACACCACATAGCTTGCACTGCATGGATTCTGCTGTCTGAAATACAAAAGACAAGTTCTAACACCTCCCCTCCCGGGGGTAAGCACCCCCCGGGAGCCGATGCAAGACACATAGGATTATGACCCAATGTCCATCCGACCTGAAAATTCAACTATCTCAGCCCAGCCGCTACTGCCCGCTATCCTCTGCAAAAAAAGCTATGCGCGCACACTCGTCTATCAACAACCATAGAAGGTTGCAACAACCCCTTGAAAAAAACAACGGAGCGCACACGCGCGCGTCGTCGCGCGCGCACGCCGAAATCCTTCAAAAACCGTCGGTTCCGGACGGATGTCAAAATCGAGAGCCCAAACAACATACAAAATCAAAGGGTTTCGAAACACGGATGTTCTAACAAAAGCTTAGACGCGCGCTCTTGGGAAATTTTCAGGAAACCATCGGTCATTCAACACTTCCCAGAACAAATGCTACCAAACGGGCTTCGCGCGCGCATGTCGAAATCGTTCGAACGCCTTTGCGCGCGTGCCGTCGCGAGAATCCTCTGCCAAAGATAGGACGAAATGCACGCGCGCGCGGCGTCGCGCTCGCATGACGAAATCCTTCAAGAACCCTCAGGGTCGGAAGGATGTCAAAATCGAGTGTCCCACAGACATAAAAAATACACCGGGTTTCGCAACACGGATGTTCAACAAAAGCGTGCGCGCGCGCTCTTGCGTCGTCGTCGTCGTCGTCGCCGTCCTCCCTCCTCCCTCGTCGACGTCGTCGTCGTCGCCGTCGTCGTCCTCTGTCTTTCCTCGTCGTCGTCGTCGTCGTCGTCCTCTTTGGCGTCATCGTCGTTTCCGTCGTCGTTGTCGCCGTGGTCGTCCTTCCTCCTCGTCGTCGTCGTCGTCGTCCGTCGTCGGCGTCTCGTCGTCGTCCCTCCTATTTCGTCGCCGTCGTCGTCGTCGTCGTCGTCGTCTTCCCTCCTCCCTCGCCGTTGTCGTCGTCGGCGTCGCCGTCCTCCCTCCTTCTTCGTCGTTCGCGTCGTCGCCGTCCTCCCTCCTCCCTCGTCGACGTCGTCGTCGTCGCCGTCGTCGTCCTCTGTCTTTCCTCGTCGTCGTCGTCGTCGTCGTCCTCTTTGGCGTCATCGTCGTTTCCGTCGTCGTTGTCGCCGTGGTCGTCCTTCCTCCTCGTCGTCGTCGTCGTCGTCCGTCGTCGGCGTCTCGTCGTCGTCCCTCCTATTTCGTCGCCGTCGTCGTCGTCGTCGTCGTCGTCTTCCCTCCTCCCTCGCCGTTGTCGTCGTCGGCGTCGCCGTCCTCCCTCCTTCTTCGTCGTTCGCGTCGTCGCCGTCCTCCCTCCTCCCTCGTCGTTGTCGTCGTTGTCGCCGTCATCGTCCTCCCTCTTCCCTCGTCGCCGTCGTCTTCTTTGGCGACGTCGTCGTCGTCGTCGTCGTCGTCGTGATCTTCGTCCTCGTCGTCGTCGGCATCGTCGTCGTCGTTGTCGTCGTCATCGTCGGAGTCGGCGTCGGCGTCGTCGTCGTCCTCGTCGGCGTTGTCGTCGCCGTCGTCGTCGGTGTCGTCGTCGTCGTCGTCGTCGTCGTCGTCGGCGTCGGCGTCGTCGTCGTCGTTGCCGTCGTCGTCGTCGAAGTCGTCGGAGACGTCGTCGGTGTCGTCGTAGTCGTCGCCGTCGTCGTCGTCAATGTCGCTGTCGTCGTCGGCGTCGCTGTCGTTGCCAAGTGCCATGTGATACCCACCGTCACGGTCTCAAGAAGTCTTGCGACCAGGTTGCGGGTGGGAGGGTGGGATGTTCGCACGAGCAGTGGAGAGGACAGCTTCACGACAGGCAAAGTGAGTTGCACCACATAGATGGCACCACACATGTTGCACCACATAGCTTACACCACATATACTGCACCACGTAAGTTGCACCGCATAGGTTGCACCACATGGGTTGATGGAGACCCACTGTTTCGGGTGCACGCTGGCCAACATCTCTTAGAAGGAAGCCTCCCGCTTCCCAAGAAGCACGCCAGGAACGATTTCTGGGAAGCCGCCGCCCGCTTCTTCGCAGGGGCGCCCACGCCTTCTGCGAGGGGGGGGGGGCTTCTGAGAAGCCTTCCGCCCTCCCGCCGCTCCCCTGCTGCGCGTGGCTGACACAGTCCCAGACCCCCGACGTCATGAATTCTCCATGACGTCGGCCCCCATTCCCCGGGACCGGCTTTTCGTCCGGAGTCGTTTCTTCACGGCCCTGAGGGCCGGTAAGGGCCCCCCGAGGCCGAAAGTAGCGAAAGACTCTCCGTTGCGATTTCTGTTCATGGCCCGAAGGGGTCTGGGGTGAGGATGCCGTCGGAGGCCCTTCGGCTATTCTTCTGCGGTGCCGAGGCAGCTCCGCGGGGCCGAGCAGGGCCACCCCGCCCGGGCCAGGGAGGGAATCCCTTAAGGAATCCAAAGCTGGAGGAGGAGGAGGAGGAGGAGTAGGAGGAGGAGGAGGAGGAGGAGGAGGAGGAGGAGGAGGAGGGGGAGGAGGAGGAGGGAGGGTATGCCTAGGACTCCCCAAGGCCCGAGGCCCCACGGAGAGGCCACGCGGACGCCCCGGCCCGCCGGCCGGCTCTCAGGCGCCCAGCCAGAGGCAGCTCCCGGCTCCCAGCAGCAGCCCGAGCGCCTGCGTCAGCTCCGCGACCGCGTGCATCTCTCCCGCGAGCCTGTTGTGATGTCGGGCGTGTCCCCCTACAGGGGGATTTTCGACGAAAGATGAAACTACCCCACAAAATACCCCAAAAAGGTAGCAAAAATACAAACAAATAGTCCTCAGATAATTTTGGGAGCATTTTTTGATTTGTTTTATGTATTTTTTATTTTTCGTCGCAAATCCCCCTGTAGGGGGACACGCCCGACTTAAGCCTGTTGGTGGCGCGCACGAGGGTGTGGGGGGAGGGGGGAAGGCTCCTTAGAAAGCGGCTGCCTCTTCGAAGGCGCCAGCCGCCCGCGAGGCTGGCTCCCCAGAACCCATCCCAGACATGATCGCGTCGTAAAAGATTCAGGGCGGCAAATTTTGCAATACTTTCAACCCTCGGGGGCCCTCGCCGGGCCCCGAAACCGGCAAAAAACAACTCAGGATGACAAACTGGCCCCAGGGAAAGGGTCTGGACTTCCAGGGACGCCGTCCTGAAAAAATCAGGACCTCGCATGTCTGGGCTCGGGTCATGAAGAAATCACGACGGGAAGGTGTTCCTTCTTTTCGGCCTCTGGGGGCCCTCGGGGACCCTCGGGAGCGTCAACAAAAACGATTCGGGACGAGAACGCTGGTCCCGGGGCATGGGTCCAGACCGCTGGAGATCGACGCTACGAAGGAATCGTGACGTCGGGGGTGCGAACCTTCACGAGCAGCGAACATATCCGTGCGGTCAGGATTCCGGGGCGCGATGCCGCAGACGCGGTTGTACGGATACCTTCCACGCGGGGCACCGCCGACGAACAAAAACGCCCCGGATCCGCGGGGTCGCGGCCTGGGAGCCCGGCCCCGCGAGGCTGCGGACTCCATACGGCCATGTCTTTCGCCCACGACGGGTGCTTGCCAAGCCCAGAGCTCCGACGGCGTGTGTGTTCGGTCCCGGCATCTCTCCTCGATCTCGGTCTCGGAGGCCGGCAATCGGGCCCGGGGGGGCATTACACATGGGATCAGCATGAGCAACTACCCCCGGGGAGCCTAGGGGAGCAAACAACGACAGAAGCATAAGCACTCTGAGGTCCGCGCGGATGTCTCGGATCGGCGCTGGAACCCGCTCCCTGGCCCGCGGAGTGGCGGCGCCGCAGGCGCCGCCAGGGGGCCCCAGCAACGATCCGAAAAATCTGCGCGGACCCTAGTTTTTTTATGTGTATATGCCGCTGCTGATTCCCCGAGGGAAGGGGTCCGGAGTTCTGGGAACGGGGCCCGAACACCTCGTATCCAAAGGCCTCCTAGAGGGGGTCCGGGGAAATGGGGTCGAAGGATCGCGCCGCATCGCCAATGATAGATCGGCGATGCATCGGCGATGCATCGGCGACGTCGGCGTGGGGATACACCAGCGCCACATCAAGCCACATCGTCGATGCATCGGCGATACGGCGCGATCCTCCGACCCCATCTGCTCCAGCTCAATATGGGAGGCTTGGACAAGGATGCCCTGGATCCTCGATCCTCTTCGAGGGAGGAGGAGGAGGACGAAGAGGAGGAGGGAGAGGAGGAGGAGGAGGAGGAGGAGGAGGAGGAGGAGGAGGAGGAGGAGGAGGAGAAGCAGGAAGAGGAAGGAGGAGGAGGAGGGGAGGAGGAGGAGGAGGAGGAGGAGAGAGGAGAAGGAGGAGCAGAGGAGCAGGAGGAGCAGGAGGAGGAGGAGGAGGTGGAGGAGGAGGAGGAGGAGGAGGAGGAGGAGGAGGAGGAGGAGGAGGAGGAGGAGGAGTGGTCGGGCCGCTCCCGCGCTCCCCGCCCCTCCCCGAGAGCCGCGCGCCAGAGGCCCCTCCGGCGGCGAAGTGCCCCTCTCGCGTGTAGCCGCCAGGTGGCCCCAGCTTTTCCCGGGCAGGTGGCGAGATCCATAGCGCATACGCTGCCCCCTGGCCCAGCCTGAACCCAGCAGCGGTGTATACGCCACGCCCTCCCGGCTTGGCCAGGAGGGCGTGTGCACAGCTCCTGGCTTCAGGATGGGCCTGGCCGGGGGGGGCAGTGGATGTGTGTAGATCTCATCGCCCGAAAGGGAGGCGCCCCCGGGGGCCTCCAGAGCACCCCTCGAGGTGCCCCGAGGCCCCCGGGGGTTCCCAAGTGGCGCGAAGGCTGGGGACGCCAGGGGCGCCCGTTTTGGCCCCCCCGGGCCTGGGGGAGCGACCAGCCACGATCTCCTCTCGAGGACGCCAAAGATCAGGCAGTGCCACCGGGGATCGCATGAGGGGGTCGCCAGACGCCCCCTTGTCCTCGAGCGAGAGTCGATGATTGAGAGAAGCTGTTTCTGCCAGGCACTATGCACCTGCAGTTGCGCGCGGGACGGCAAGTTAAATGTGCGCTGGCGCCGCTGGCAGTGGCGAAGAAGGCGGGGAGCACGAGGTGCTTCTGGCCCCATCCAGCGGATCTGGTCGAAGTCGGTGCGGCCAAGCCCCCAGAACCCAGAGATCCGACGTCGTGACTTTGTCAATATACGGGTCCCCGGAAGTCTCGACCCATTCCCCATGGACCGGTTTTTTATCCTGAGTCGTTTTTTGACGGCCCTGGGGCCCGGCGAGGGCCGCTAGAGGCCGAAAATCGAGAAAAACCTCCGTCTTGCTTTTTTCAATGCGTTGGAGGTCTGGGAATCATAACTCGGCGCCTCGCCCAGGTGGGAAGGTGGAGGAGGCGGGCCTTCTCAGCAGACGAAGCCGGGGGGGAAAACAGCAGACCTGGCGCGCGGAGCCCGCCAGGTGCGGCCCCGGAGGCGCCGCCAGGGGCGGGACCCAGCGCAGACCCAGGGCATCTGCGCTGAGCTTCTCCTCCTCCTCCTCCTCCTCCTCCTCCTCCTCCTCCTCCTCCTCCTCCTCTCCCTCTCCTCCTCCTTCCCCTCCTCCTCCTCCTCCTCCTCCTCCTCCTCCTCCTCCTCCTCATCCTCCTTCGTTTGTGCATGTATTTTGCTTCTTCGAACAACTGAATACGCGGCCGGTCCCCGTCGTGACGAAGTTAGTCTGTCTGGTGTCTGGCACACCATGGAGCGCCCGACCCTCAATCGTTGCGGCGTGCCGACAGCGAAGAGCGCTGGATACCGGCCTGTTCTGGCCACCGGCGTCGTTCGACCAGGAAAATTTGTGCTGGGGTCGCAACCGAGTCAACGCGGCGTGAGCCTACAATGGGCACGTCAAATAAGACACCAGCCTGTCAGTTATCCCTCGATGTCCCCCAGGGCCGCCCACAGAAGCCCAGGGGATGCTCAGGGTGCGCAAAGCTCGACGACAAACGTAGGCAACTGTGGCCCTGGACCCAGAGATCCAGCGCATTGAAAAAATCAAGACGGAGGCTTTTCTCAATTTTCGGCCTCTAGAGGCCCTCGCCGGGCCTCGGGACCGCCCAAAAACGACTCAGGATGAAAACCCGGTCCTGGGGAATGGGTCGAGACTTCCGGGGGCCCCGCATTGGAAAAAATCACGTCACCGGATCTCTGGGCATTCCTCCATGCACGAATCGTCATCGTATGTGCCCCCTGGGCCGTGCGCCGAGCCTGGGCCCAGGCTTGGCCTGGGGAGGATCGGTGCACGGCAGGCTCACCCAGCGCTCCGGCAGGTCGGCTCTGCAGGTCGTGCTGCACATCAGCCACAGCACGCCCAGCAGGGCGAGCAGCACAGTCACCATCGGGCACCTGCCGGCGGCGCGCACGGGGGGGCCCCAGGGGGGAGGGAGCGACGGTGGCGGACGGCGGAGGCTTCCGACGACGAGGGGCGACGCGCCCGCCTCCTGCACGCTGGAAACGGCGGAGGCCTTCTGGAAAGGGACGGCCCCAAGCAAGATACGCAGCACCCCGCAGATGCCAATGAGAGTGAGGGGGCGGTGGGGACGTCAACAGTGTGCGAGACTCTGGAGAAGCCCGCTGCAGGCGCCGTTTTTTCGTTGAAGCAATGTGGGTAGATCGCGGGTGGGTCGCAAATGGGTCGTGGGTGGGTCGCGGGTGTAGAGGGCAGAAAATCCACCGGATAATAATCAACCCGACAAGCGAAGCCGCTTAGTAAACGCACAAAAAGAATTAATCGAACAGGGCAGGGCTGTTTAGTCAACGCTCAGGGCCGTTTAGTAAACGTCAATTGTCGGGTCCGGGTGGTTTTTCCTCCCTCGAGGGTGGGTCGCGGGGTGGGTCGTGGGTTGGTCGCGGGGTGGGTCGCGGGTGGGTCGCGGATGGGTCGCGGATGGGTCGCGGAGTGGGTCGCGGGGTGGGTCGCGGGGTGGGTCGCGGGGTGGGTCGCGGGGTGGGTCGCGGGGTGGGTCGCGGGTGGGTCGCGACAACAAACAACAACACCAACAACGAAAACAATAACAACAACAACAACAACAACAACAACAACAACAACAACAACAACAACAACAACAACAACAACAACAAGGTCGACACGAGCACTGCCCACCAGTCCACGGCCCGACCGTCCACGCCTTCACCCACTGGGCGAACACGTGGACTGACGACCCGTGGACCCACTACCCCCTCCCCCCCACACCAACACCAACACCAACACCAATTCCATAGAATCCTCACGGAATCCTACACGATCTCTACGGAATCCTATAAGCTCCGACGATCCCTATATAATCCCATAGGATCCCTATGGTCACCGTGGCGCTGAGACCACCCTTACGCACCTCCACGTATTCCTGCGACTGGAAACGATGTGCGCACCGGCGAAACGACCTTCGGGCATCCTTCGGAATCCATGCGGGATCCTAGGGATCCCTAGGACATCCCCAATGCATCCCTGGTGTTCCTAGGATCCTACACTGAGCCTGCACGCCCTGTATGGAATCCTATACAGAGCCTACACGCCCTGTGCGGGATCCTATAAAGGGCCTGCACGGCCTGTGCGGGATCCTATACAGAGCCTACGCGCCCTGTATGGGATCCTATACGGGGCCTGCGCGCCCTGTCTGGGAACATATAAAGGTCCTGCACGGCCTGTGTGGGATCCTACACACAGCCTACATGCGCCCTGTACGGGATCCTATACAGGGCCTACAAGCCCTGTGTGGGATCCTATAGAGAGCCTGCACGGCCTGTATGGGATCCTACACAGAGCCTGCACGCCCTGTATGGGATCCTATACAGAGCCTACATGGCCTGTGTGGTATCATTTACAACGCCTGCACGGCCTGTGCGGGATCCTATGCAGAGCCTACACGCCATGTATGGACTCCTAAACAGAGGCTACGAAGCCTGCTTGAGATCCTATACGCAGCCTACACGGCCTGTGCGGGATCCTGTACAAAGCCTGCACGCCCTGTATGGGACCCAGTAGGGAGTCTACACGGCCTGTATGGAATCCTTCACAGAGCCTACACGGCGTGTGTGGGATCCTATACAGCGCCTACACGGCCTGTATGGGATCCTATACAGGACCTACACGCCCTGTCTGGGAACCTGTACAAAGCCTACACGCCCTGTGTGGGATCCTATACAGAGCCTGCACGGCTTGTGTGGGATCCTGTACAAAACCTACACGCCCTGTACGGAACCCTGTGCAGGGCCTACACGCCGTGTATGGGATCCTTTACAGAGCCTGCACGCCCTGTATGGGATCCGATACAGAGCCTACACGGCCTGTACGGGATCCTGGACAAAGCCTACACGCCCTGTGTGGGATCCTATACAGCGCCTACACGGCCTGTGGAGCATCCAGTGGGGCCAGGGCCACGACCCTCGAGAATGGTGTGCCGAAGTGAAGCTTCGGTGGAGCTCCCTGTGTGGCCAGGGCCACGACCCTCGAGAGGCGTGTGCCGAAATGAAATTTCGGTGGGGCCTCCTTGTGGGGCCAAGGCCACGATCCTAGAGAGGAGTGTGCCGAAATCAGGTTTCGGAGGTGCTCTCTGTGGGGCCAGGGCCACGATTCTTGGGAGGGGTGTGCCGAAATGAAGCTTCGGTGGGGTTCCCTGTGGGGCCAGGGCTACGATCCTCGAGAGAGGCGTGCCGAAATGAAGCTTCGGTGGAGCTCCAGGTGGGGCCAAGGCCACGATCCTTGAGAGGAGTGTGCCGAAATGAGGCTTTGGAGGTGTTCCCTGTGGGGCCAGGGCAACGATTCTTGGGAGGGGTGTGCCGAAGTTGACCTTCTGTGGGGCTCCCTGTGGGACCAGGGCTACGATCCTCGAGAGGGGTGTGCCGAATAAGGCTTCAGTGGAGCCCCCTGTGGTGCCAGGGCCACGTTCCTGGAGAGGGGTGTGCCGAAATGATGCTTCGATGGAGCCCCCTGTGGGCCAGAGCCACGATCCTAGAGAGGGGTGTGCCGAAATCGAACTTCGGTTGTGCTCCCTGTGGGGCCAGGACCACGATCATCGAGAAAGTGTGCCGAAATGAAGCGTCGGTGGAAGTCCCCGTGGCGCCAGGACCACGATCCTCGAGAGCGGTGTGCCGAAATGAAGCTTCGGTGGTGCTCCCTGTGGGGCCAGGGCCACGATCCTCGAGAGAGGCGTGCCGAAATCAAGCTTCGGTGGAGCTCCATGTGGGGCCAGGCCACGATCCTTGATATAAGTGTGCCGAAATGAAATCTCGGTGGAGCTCCAGAGGTTGTTTCCATCGGGGTTCCTCAGGATTCCCGAGGGGGTCCTTATGGTTCCCTAGGGGTTCCTAAAGGATCCCCTTAAAGATTCCTACCGGGAAGTGCTTAAGGATGTGCTCAGAGCCGCGGCCACCATAGGGATCCTATAGGACCCCTATAGGATACCATCGAGACCCCATAGGATTCCATGTGGATTTCTATATGATTCCATACGGATCATACAGGATTACATAAGGATTCGATAGGGATTCCTGCAGGAGCCCATGCGGGTCCTGTAGGATCCCATAGAGAACCCATCGGATCCCATATGGACCAGATCGGACTCCTGGAGGATCCCCTTGGTACCTTATAGGATTCCATAGGGATCCTGCAAGACCCCTATAGGGTTCCATGGGGACCATATAAGGATTCTCAAGGATCGTATAAGGATTTCTACGGATCTCTATGGAACCCGATAGGAGCCCATATGGCATCCTCCAGGGTCGCAATGGAATCCTAGAGGGTCCCCATGGAATTCTATAGGACCCCTATGGCATTTCTGTAGGATTCCGATGGTACCGTATAGGTTCCCAATAGAGTCGCATAGTCCCCAAGTATCCTGTCGGACCCCTATGGGATCCTATAGGACACCAACACCAACACGCCAACAGCCCCGCGGGGCCCCTCCCCGTCGTGGCCCTACGTGGGTGGGTGGGGGGGGGGGGGTACGGGTCGTCAGTGCACGTGTCCATCAACAACATCAACAGCAACAGCAGCAGCAGCAGCAACAACAACAACAAGCAGTTTAAGACAGTTCGCTCATATCTGCGCACGTGCCAATCCATACGTATATCCCAAACCCTCGGTATCCGCCCTCGTCGTCTTCGATCGTACCCCTCGTGGGCATATATTCCTTACCTGCCACGCGTATTTAGTGCAGCCGCTACAACAAAAAAAGATGACGGGTGGAAGGGGGAGGCAGAATAATGGCGCACTACAGAAATTAGCAGGAAGGGGGCAAGGAGCAGAACACTAGTTAACCAGGAGGGCAGATCGGGTAGGCAGACCCATATTGGGCAGGTCGGAAAGGCTGACGCAGGCGACGAGGTCGAGCAGGCGGGTTGCTGCATGAATCGCGAGAAAGTCTCGAGCGAGAGCGCCGTTCCTGAGTTCGGGGGCCTTCTTGGCCAGGGGCTGTGGGAGTAAATCGTGAGGAAGTATCGAGCAGGAGCCCTTGTCGTCGTAGCTGGGCCTCCGCCAACTTAATCGAATTGCGAGGAAGTCTCGAGCGAGAGCACCGTTCCTGAGTTCGGGGCCTCTCTGGCCAGGGTGTCTCTGGGTAAATTGTGAGGAAGTATCGAGCGGGAGCCGTTGTTGTCGTAGCTGGGCCTCCAAGGGCGCACATGTCGGGTCAAGCCAACGCTCGAGCGGGAGCCTCGTTTTCAGAGAAGATGTAGCCAACGTCGAGGCGAGAGCGCGCGGAACCTTTTCCGGAGATCAACAATAATTCTTCTTTAGGAATGAATACTCAACACCGACAACAACGCAACAAACATAATTCTCACCACGAAATTCTTATTCAGCCACGCACTCAGGGACAATGAATGACCGTTCGACCCCCTCACTCTGACCTCCTCCTGACTTCTCAACAAACCTCCATCCCCCAGAGAAGCCCACCGTTCCAATACGTGCCCAAGGAAACTCCAACAGGATCCCAAAAAGACCCGCACAATTTCTGATACAAATCCTCATCGATCATACATGCTTCCAGAAGGCCTTCCAGAAAAGAGCGCTGAGAGCATCCTGGGAAAAGGGGTTCGTGAAATCGCCCGAGCCCCTGTTGTGCGCCATCGAACACGGGGAAGCAGGAAGAACGGGGGCATCCAAGAGGGGGGCATCCAAGAGGGGGGGCTCGCAAATCTTGAGCGCAAGCACTTGCGCGGACGAAAGGGGGATCTAGAGACATACGGAAAGAAGAGGATTGGCCATGAAATCCTGGCCCTTGCCATGCTACGTATCCCCTCCCTTGCCTTAGGTCGGGCATGTCCCCATACAGGCGGATTCGGACGAAAAATAAGAAATGCCCCAAAAATACCCCCCCAAGAAAACTTGAAAAAACGGAAGACAAATCGTCCCCTGACTATTTTTTTCTATTTTTGAGTATTGCCCCTTCAGAGGGACACGCCCGACTTAACCCTAGCCATCACCCGCCTGTCGGCCGCCCCGAGCAAACACCACCACTGCTGCTTCCTAGACTCCTCGTGGACTTAGAATAGAATAAGAAAAAACACATAAACATAAACTTATGGCGCTGCGCGCGGATTTCCTGGATCCCCCCTCCCCGGAGCGCGGAGCGCACTAGGGGCGGCGCCGGAGGCGCCGCCAGGGGGTCCCAGCGCGGATCCGAGAAAACCGCGCGGAGCGCCAAAACTTCATGTTTATGTGGTTTTTCTTTCTTCGATAGAAGCCTCGTAGATGAGATCCGACTAAATGGGGTCGGAAGATCTCACCGCATCGCCGATTCACCGCCGATGCATCGGCGACGTCGGTGATGCATCGGCGCCGTCGGCGTGGAGAAACTCGGGTTCCACATCGAGGCGCATCGCCCATGCGTCGGCGATGCGTGCGATCCTCCGGCCCAAAGCACTCGGACCCCATCTGCCCAGAGATACGATGGCGTGATTTTTTCAATACGGGGTCCCCAGAAGTCTCGACCCATTCCCCAAGACTGGTTTTTCATCATGAGTCGTTTTTCGACGGTCCCGGGGCCCCGCGAGGGCCGCTAGTTGCCCGAAATCGAGAAAAACCTCCGTCTTTTTTTGTTGTTCAATGCGTTTGAGGTCTGGGTGGGAGGCCCAGAGGGCTTGCCCTCGCCATTCCGGCGCGCCGACGAGCCTCAGGGCACTCGTCCTCAGCGAGCAGGCGACCGCCGGCAGGCCCGCCGCCAGCAGCCACCGCGCGCTCGCGTGGCCGCGGAGGCGGCGCGCCGCCAGCAAAGCCGAGTACGCGGCGGCGGCCACCAGGCTGTGGCACACGTCCCCGTACCTCAGATGGGAGGCACAAAGACAGACTACTACTGTATGCTCTCCTCGGAGGCGCACGTCCGACCCAAACATACCGGAGACCCATCTTGTAGTAGATCGCTTCCCGAGTGGTGTGGCCAGAAAGCGCCCGCCACGACGCATGTACGGTGCGCGCGTCGCCCCGGGGGGGGGGGGGGGCGACGCACATATAGTACACGACTGGTGGGTTCGCGCCGATCAGACACGGGTCAGGGAGCAACTCCTGGGAGGTGATCGCCAGAACGATCAAGGACGACTGTGCCGATTGAGGGGCCATCGAGTCGGACTAGGCTGGATCAGGCCCAGAATTGAACCAGATGGCGTTAGATTGCTCAGGACTAATCCGGACTGAGGCCAGCGTCCGACCTCAGACACACCAGCGCTTACAGGAGTTCCATCCTGACATGGGGGGCCTTCCTGGAGCCCCACTCGCTCCTCTCACGCGCGTCGGTGCTGCGCCAGACATCTGCCGACGCGGGTTGAACTTGAGTCGAGCGGGTCGAAACATCGGAGCAGGGCAAACTGGTGGTCCAAGCGCACCAAGTTCCCGAGCTGCGTCCAACTTGTCCCAACTGTGGCCATCCTCTGAAACTGGATTCGAACCAGAGTCGAGCAGAGCCGTTCGGTGGGCCCCGCGAAGGTCCCCCATGCGCACAGCCAGCGCACCTGTGCTGGGCGACCGCCAGCAGCCCGAAGGCGGCGAGGTCGTTCCGTAGCACGACGGCCACGTCACTGCCGTACTCGTAGGTCTGTACGAGGCCCGCCGCGGTCAGGCCGCGGTCGTTGTGCCTCACGAGCCCGATCACGGCCTGGAGCGCGTCGTCCGTCATGTTGGCGACGGCGGCCTCGCCGGTGACGTTGGCGAGGTGCCTCATCTCCTGGGGAACAATACAAGAGAAACCGCTACAGGGGCTGCTGCGGGTCCCTGGAGCCATCGGTAGATAAGAAGCCTCCGGGGGGGGCATCCGCCGGCAGGCCAATCTCTTATTTGACGTAGTTCCTGTACTCCCTGGACCTCTCCCCGGGTGCGCTCTGACGAGAACTCCAGGGAGAGTCCAGCCGTGGCGACGACAGCTCTCCAGGACGAGCAGCGCGGCATTGGAGTACCCAGCGGTCGGCAGAAGTAGGTAGAAACATGAAGTAGGAAGGCGTTGAAAATAGATTGGGGGTCCGCCCGCCCCTTAACGAGGACGGAGAAGGTGAAGCCACTCGAACACTGAAGTAGGAAGGCGCTCAAAGTAGCTCGGAATCTGGGAATCCAGTGCCGATCTGGGTACCTCTTCCTCCTCCGTGCAGCATCTCCTGCACGGAGAGGCCGCCGTCGCCGTCCGCGTCGCACGCCTGCCACAGGCTCTCGATGCCCCGGCGCCACGCGGGCGTGAACCGGGCGCAGCGCGTGACCTTCGCCCCCCCGACACAAAGCAACCGAACCACCAAATGCCCCGGGCCTCATTGAAGGGGCCCTGAGACACACAAATAAATACACACAATTTAAAAGGATTCGCCATCTTTTCATATAGATGTTCTGAGCTTTTGTCTTCCCCCCCACTTCCCATATTTTCTGGGCATCGACGATTAATTGTGTCTGTGTGCTTTTTCCCCTCCTCATTCATGCAAGCAGAGAGAGCCACTACCACTAGAACTCCACAGCAATCCCTTCCCAAAGGCCACCACCCCGAGCTGGCGGCACTCCGTGCCGGGCACTCCTCTGGGGGCGCGCCCAGAGCTGGGTGCCACCAGCTCCAGGAGGGGAAGCGGCCAACCCCCCCTAGCTTGTGTTAGTGGCTCTTTCTCCTTGGGTGAGAGCTCATGCCCGAAGGGGGCTCCAAGAGGCGCCCGAGCAAATCCGCACAGGCCCCGCGAGGGGCCCTCACAGACGCCCCTGGAGAGGCTTCTGGCTGTAGAGCGCCGCGGGCATCGTGGGGAATGGGGACGCCGAAGGCCACCGAAAGAAGCCGCCGCTTCCAGGACCTCTCGGGGGGTGCGCTCTGACCAGAGCTCCAAGGCGAACCTGGCCGTGGCGACGACGGCCTCCTAGGAGGCCCCAAAACGAGGAAGACGAGGCCAGGGTGGCAGTATCAGTACCTTTTCACCGTCGGACACGGGTGCTCCTGGAGAGATTTCTGGCACAGAGCGCCGACAGCATCCTGGGGAAGGGCTTCCTGGACTCGCCCGACCCTGAGACATACCATCGCGAACAAAAATGCGACGCCGCGAAAAGTCACGACAGGAGCCGGAGACCCTTTTCCGAGCTGGATCGCTAGGTGATGGTCCTGGGCCCGTCGCAAAGCAACATCGCCCGTTGCCAACAAGAAATGCGACGCCAGGATCTCCAGTCGGGGCTTGACAGGGGCCCGTTGAGCGAAACGGCCTTTAGCGAACTCTGCCGGGGGCACTCCACGTGCGCACGGCACCGCACTCCGAGTGCAGCCTGGCGGAGTGGGTAACCGACGTCAGCAAATCGGAATGTACCCGGCGAGGCGCACGTCGATGAGCGAAACCGACTGCGAACCGCACCCAAGCATGCTCGACTGCCAATGTGGATAAGACAAGCGCAGAGTTCCTCCGTCGACTTGTCTAGGTGGGCGTTTAATGTCTGTTTCACACGAGCCTACCTGGCGGATTTCGGAAACCCTGAACCCAAAAACGTTTTCATCATGTGGGGCGCATCTGTTACTTCCGCAGCCTTCCGCCGACCTTCCGTCGACCATCCGCCGCCTTCCGCCAAGGAAGAGATGGCAGCTCCTTCGATGCTCGAAGGCAAAGCCGTTTTTGGAACGCCTCACGTGGCCCAAGGCGCTGTCCAATTTGGGCCCGATTTGGACCAGGTGGAACACATATGGGACGGGATTTAGACCGGATTTAGACTGGACTCGCCTCATCACAGATACGACGAGGAGAAAGAGGGGGAGAAGGAGCAGGAATAGCGAGGAGGAGCAGGAAGCGACAGATGTGGTCAAATGCGGCTCACATACAGGGAAAGGGAATTTCGAAGTAGCCGCCCAACGCTCCCATAAATAGACATCTAAGGTGGGCGCTCTCGCACTGCCGGGTCAGTGCGCACCGCATCATCGTCATCATCATCATCATCATCATCATCATCATCAGCATCATCATCATCAATGTCGTCATCAACCCCATCATCGTCCTCATCCTCATCCTCATCCTCATCCTTATCCTCATCCTCATCCTCATCCTAATCCTCATCCTCAACAGAATCAGAATCATCATTCTCATCATCGTCCTCCCCTTCATCATCACCGTCATCATCATAATCATCGTCGCCATCACCCTCATCGTCATCATCATCCTCATCATCCTCATCATCCTCATGATCCGCGTCATCACCATCATCATCATCATCATCATCATCATCATCATCATCATCATCATCATCATCATCATCATTACCATCGCCATCATCACCATCATCCTCATACTCATCATCATCACTGCCATCGCCATCGTCAGCACCATTCTCGTCATCAGCACCATCATCGCAATCATCCTCAAGATCATCTTCATCCACATCCTCATACTCATGATCATCCCCATCACCAGTAACATCGTCATCACCATCATCGTCATCATCACCACCGTTACAATGATCATCATCACCATCATGCTCCTCATCATCCTCCTCATCCTCCTCATCCTCATCAACCTCCTCACCATCATCGCCACCATTACCATTACCACCATTATCGTCATCCTCAAACCGTAGTCACAATCACCATTCCCACCTTCATCTCATCATCTTGATTGCAATTATCACCATCATCATCAACATCATCATCACTATCCTAATCCTCATCCTCACCATCACTGTTACCACCAACAACACCATCATCAGCAGCATCATCTTCATCACGGTCCTCAGCACCCTTATCATCCTCACCGTCATCCCCATCATTCCGATCATCACCATCCGGGCCATCATCACAATCACAACCATCATCACCAGTATCAGCACTATGCACATCATTACAATCACCATCTTCCAAATTAGCATCCTCTTCCTCATCATCATGGCCATTTACTGGCATCATCATCAACATCACCATAACAAGTACCACCATCACCATTACCATGACCATGCCATTCACCATCACAATCGCAATCATCAGCATCACCATCATAATCAGCAACACCATGACCATCATGTCCGTCACCAGCATTATCGCTATCATCACCCACACCATCAACATCACCATTACCATCACCATCAGCATCGCCATCAGCATCGCCATCAGCATCGCCATCACAATCATCATGATCATCACTATCACCAGCATCATCATCATCATCATCATCATCACCATCACCACCAATACTTTCATCACCATCACCATGACCATCATCATCACCATCACCATCAGCACCGTCGCTACCACCATTATGATGACCAGCCTCATCATCATCATCACCCTCAATCATCACCATCACCATCCTCACCATCACGATCATAAACATCATCCTCATCACCATTTCCATCACCATAATCATCACCATCACTATCACCATCACCATCGCCATTACAATGATCACCACCATCACCATCTTCATCGGCATCTCCATAGCAATCACCATCATCATCACCATCACCATCAACATCAACATCACTATCGTCATCACCATCACCATCGTCGTCATCAGCCTCACCATCACCATCACCAGTCATCACCACCATCGCCATCACCATCACCATCATCAAGCAAACCATCATATTCATCATAAGTACCAGCAGCATTCCCATCAGCATGCCCAATACCATTATCATCACCATCATCATCATCACCGCCACAATCACTCCAAACATCAACATGATCATCACGCTAATCATCATGACCATCACCATTACAATCACCATCATCATCATCATCACCATCAGCATCACCATCACCAAAATCATCATTATCATCATCAGCCCCATCATTGTCATGACCATCGCCATTATCATCACCATCAGCATCATCACCATCACCATCACCCCCATCATCGTGCCATCATGATCATCATCATCCTCATCTTCACCATCAGCGACACCATCGCCATCAGCATCATCACCGTCTTCGTCAGCATCATCATCATCAGCATCATCACCAGCACCATTGCAATTATCGTCAAAATCACCATCATCATCATCATCATCCTCATCCTCATCATTTGCATGACCATCACCATCACCATGGCCCATGGCCCTCACCATCGTAAGCATCAGCATCACAATCTCCATAACCATCACCATCAGCAGCATCACCAACATCATCACCATCACCATCATCACCATCATCATCACTACCACAATCACAATCACCATCACCATCATCAGCATCACGATCATCATCGTCATCACCAGTATCACCACCATCATCATAACCACCAGCATCACAATCACCATCATGCTCACCACACCTATCGCCATCACCATCGCCATCACAATGATCATCATCACTAACACCATCACAATCGCCATCACCATCACCAACAATACCATCATCATAGTCAGCATGGCAATCACCCTTCTCATCAAAATCACCATCGTTGTCAACTTCACTACCAGTATCACCATTTCCATCATCATCATGACCGTCACTATTATCGTCATCATCACCGTCATCATCATGACCAGTATCAGCATCATCATCAGCATCACCCTCATCATCGTCACCATCAGCACCATCATCAATACCCTGATCATCCTCAACATCATCATCACCATCACCATCACCATCACCATCATCATTATCATGACCATCATCATCATCATCATCATCATCATCATCATCCTCATCATCATCATCATTACCATCACCATCATCATCATCACTGTCACCATCACCCTCCTCACCGTCGTCGTTATCATCATCATAGTCCTCAGCATCACCATCATGACCATCACCATCACCATCGTCATCACCATCATCATCACCACCACCACCATCACCATCACCATCACCATCACCACCATCACCATCACCATCACCTTTATCACCACCATCACCACCACCACCACCATCACCATGCCCATGCCCATCCCCCATCACCACCTCACCATCCTCGTCGTCGGTCAGGGTGCGCCGCGCGTGACCTGGGGCACCGAGAGGCCGCAGACCTCGAGCACGAGCAAGGCCACGTCCACCGTGACTACGCCCAGCAGCCCGGCAGCCAGCAGCGCCGCGGCGCGCGCCTCCGCGGTCGCGGGCCCCGCCACGGTGAAGCAGCACCCGCAGAGCTCGCAGCGCGCCCGGGAGGCGCTCTGCTCGCGCCACCTCGGAGGAGAAGGCACCGATACACCGCTGCCCCAGACAGGCTCGCGTGGTGGAGAAAACACTACGGTCTGCTTGTTGCCGTGTTCGGCCTTGGGGGGCCCTCGCTGGGCCCCGGGACCACCCAAACACGACTCGGGATGGAAAGCCTGTCCCAGGGAATGGGTCGAGACCTCTAATGGGTCCACGTTGCAAGAAGAACGCGACGCCAGAGGACTGGGGATGCACCCTTCCCCTCGTTCTTGCCTTTTCTGGCCTCCTGGGAGGCCCTCGCCGCCACGGCCAGATCCGCCTCGAAATCCTGGCCAGAGGGCGCCCCGGGAGAGGCCTGGGGAGAAGCTGTTTAGGTACCGCTTGGCTTCCCCGACCGCCGCCACAGGCACTCTGCGTGCACGTACGCCTGGGACCCGCGGCACCCGCAGGGCCGCACGAGGTCCCCGTGCTCCTGGGGAGGGGCGACACTGGAGGGACGGCAAGAGCGTGCACGTGCCGCGGCCCCGGCGCCGGGTCCATCTTGAAGGCCCGGGATCGGTGCATGCGCCGCCCTGGGCCGGAGAGGGAGGCACGTGTTCCGGGAGGAGGAGGAGGAGGAGGAGGAGGAGGAGGAGGAGGAGGAGGAGGAGGAGGAGGAGGAGGAGGAGGAGGAGGAGGGAGGAGGGAGGAGGGACGCGGCCGAAGGAAAATCAGGAAAGGGCGGGCGGCTCAGGGGTACGAGAAACCTGGGCCCAGAATAGGTGTATGAGCGTACTCCTCGTCGCCCCACGAGAGGGGGGGGGGACTGGCTCAGAGCATCGACTTGGAGTCGGCGATACGTCGCCGACGCAGATCGGCGACAGGCCCCCGACCGCGAAACCGCACATTCCTGGGCGGGGTAGGCCATCGGGCGCCGACCAGCGATGAATGGGCGATTGGGGGTCGATGCATCCCGAACCGGAGCCTATCCCCTCCTAACGTTACCCCTTGGCTTTCGGGTCCCATCGTCTCCCGCGACCGATCGGGACGATCCTGGCAACCCCAGAACGCTCTCGGCGAGGCGCAGCCGCTGGAAGGCACTCCGACGCCAGAAAACCACGGAGAACTTACGAGCACGCATGGAAATCTCGAAGCAGATCGACCCTATCCCCTCCTAACGTTGCCCTTGACCAAGGGTCACAAATCAAGCCCTGGACCTCTCCAGGGGTGCATTCTGACCAGAACTTCGAGGCGTACCCAGCTCTGGCCACGAGGGGACCCCAGGACGACCAAAAATCTTAAGAGAGCGAACCTCGACCCTGGAACCTTGGACCTCTGCAGAGCTCTGAGCCTGTCTCCCCTGACGTTGCCCCTAAGCTCCAGGCACACCCGGCAGCAGGCCTCTCCTGCAACCTCCGGCGCTTCCGGCGTCCAGACCGCCCGCACCGCGTTCGCGGCCGTGTCGAAGACGGCCTGGAACTGGGCCCAGAACTTCCTCTTCAGCCTCAGGGGGCCCCAAGACCGAAGGGTTAGGACGAAATCCCTGGGAATCCTCAGAACAAAAACAGTCTGAGGGCCGAGGACCGCTTCAGGGGACATTCTGTAAAAAAAGGGGTCCCGAAGAAAACGTGCCATCTCCAATTCCCTCAACAATGCTGGCAGTCAGGTTTTCGTCCTCCTCTTCCTAGGAGCTGGGCTGGCGTGCCGCCCTGGCCGTCCTGTGGCCGCCCTGCCGCCGCCCCGCCGCTGGTCGTCGCCGCCCGTCGCCACCCCGTCGTGGGTTCGTGTCTATTCCCTGCCGGCTTGTGGCCGCCCCGCCGCCGCCCCGTCGCCGCTCATCGCCGCCCATCGCCGCCCTCCTCCTCCTCCTCCTCCTCCTCCTCCTCCTCCTTTCCTCCTCCTCCTCCTCCTCCTCCTCCTCCTTTCCTCCTCCTCCTCCTCCTCCTCCTCCTCCTCCTCCTCCTCCTCCTCGTGTACCGGGCTGGGCGGGCTGTGGCCGCCCCGTCGCCGCCCGTCGCCGCCCGCCCGGCTGGGCCCGTGCAGCGGTCCAGCCGGCCTGGGTGGCCGCCTGGCGCAATCCGTCGCAGCCGCCCGTCGCCGCCGCACTTTGGTAGCATGGCTGAGTGTGCGAACCTCGTAGATGGCACAATCTGTAGTACGCCGCATAGATTGCACTTGACCGCGTAGGTGTGGTTCAGCTCCATGGTGCATTCGAAACATCTGCTCATACCATGCCAGCTAAGCTGGCAATCCCCCCGCATCTCTTGCGGAAAACAACATGCGCGCACACTCGTTTACCACAAACCACCCGTTTGCAAAATCCCTTGCGCAAAAACGGAACGACATTGAAACGCGCGCGCCGTCGCGCGCGCATGCCAGAATCCATCAAGAATTCGTGATTTCGTAACGAATGATGTCAAAAACCAGTGCCCCGCAGACGTATAAAACCACATGGTCTTTCAACCATATTCCCCCAACAAATCTGCGCGCGCTGCTTCGAATTTCCCGGCAAATGCATGCCCATCAAATGCGACCAAGCGGGCCCCTCGCGCGCGCATGTCGGAATCCGCCGACCCCTTGTGGGTCTCTGGGCGTGCGAAAGCGTTCTCCCCCCAAGTCCCCCCCCACCCAGGGACCCCAAACCGGGAATCTGACCCCCCCAACTGCCGTGCGCGACCCGCCCCCGAACTCATCGGGGGGAGCCCAGCCCTTCCAGATTCCCTTTCGAGCTCCGAGCCGCCTCCCAAGAGACCCCCATGACGACGCCCGTGGGCCCCCAGACGCCCAAAGATCGCTTCAAGACGCTCCAGATGGACCCAAGAGGCCGCCAAGACGCCCCAAGAGGCGCCCACGAAGCTGCCCAAGAGAGCACCAAGAGGCAAACATCAAAACGTGTCCAATGTTCTTGAAGGTGTTTTGGCCTCTTGCGTTTTCGTCCTCCCGACGTTCCAAGACGCCCCAACAAAGGCCGAATCTCGCCCCAACACAGCCCAAAACGCTCGCAAGACGGCCCAGGAGGGCCCCAAGACAGCTCTAGAAGCTTCCAAGACGGCCCAAGAGGCCCCAAAAACGGCTCCAACAGGGGGCCCAAACGGGAGATCCGAACGATCATTCCGGGCCTCGGCCCCAAGATGCCCCAAGAGACGCCCCAAGAGACGCCCAATGCGGTCCCAAGAGGCCCCAACAAGTGCAAGAGAGGCCCACAACAAGCACCCCAGAGGCGCCAAAAGGTTCCAAAACGCCCCGCACAAGCCCCAAAACGAACCAAGACGACCCCAACCTGCTTCGAGCAGGCCCCGACAGACCTACCACGAGAGCCCAACGAACAATCCAGAGGCCTCTCACTCACAACCCGGGCATAGAGGCGGGATGGGCCGCAGGCTATACGCGGACCCTTCCCCTGGTGTTTCCACATATATCCGCCGTCCCTGCACGTTGTTTCTCTTTTGTTTCCCCATGCGCGCGGGAAACACTACAACTGTCAGATACAGACTCTGCAATCATCCCAATACACATCACCCATGACTCCGACACTTTCTCGCCTGACTCACCCCACGGAGACCCCCGCAGACTCTGCCCCACAACCATGTCGGGATGAACCGAAAACCATGACACATGTCACACCCCTGGAGCTCACAAGGTCTGCAGATCCAGGGTGTCAAAAAGCACCTCTGGGGCGCCGCAATCGTCCCCGACCGGTCCGACCAGCCACGCACGGCATGCCGTCAGGCTTCAAGACCACATGTTCACGCTTGTTTCCTCCTCCTCCTCCTCGCCCTCCTTTCTTCTGATCCTCCTTTTTCTCCTCCTTTTTATCCTCTTCCTCCTCCTCCGCCTCCTCGTCCTCCTCTTCCTCCACATCTCCTTCCTCGTTCTGCTACCGCTGTCGATTCCGAGCTTTCGCGCCCTGCTAAGAACGCTATAGCGGGTCTCGCGCGCATGACTTGCCCTTCAAGGTGCCGTTCTGGTGGGAACGCGCGAAATGCGGTCCAACGACAAAGTTGCACTCGGGGACTTTCCTGTTGCAGCTGCCGAAGCACCTGTACGCCTGCCAATTCCGCGTTGCGAGCCCGAAGTTCATGCAATCTGCGCATACAAGTTTACTGTAATTTACTCTTCCGCGTGAAGTGATCGCTCTCCTGTCTGTCACTGATGTGTTTCTGCCGCGGACGCTCTTTCTCGCACGCCGCGCACACCGATTGTCCCTTCACCCGCTTCGCCGCAGCAGCTACTCCCTTCGCAATGACACCCAGTGCGGCACTTGCCCCACACACAACCCTGAGTCTTAACCGACTACCCGTGGAATCAAACCCCTGGGGATAAGAAGTTTCGGGGACTGGGGGATACTAGTTATGGCCGCCCGGTGATTCTTCACCTGGTTCTTGTTCAAATCATCCGTTTTCCAAAAGGTCACCCCGCATCCTGGCGCGCAACACGCCAGCGGCTGCGCTCTGACTTGAGACGCCCGCGGCGGGGCCGCTGCCGCGCCGCACGCCACGAGCCCACCGCGCAGAGACGGCCGAGGTGCGGGGCCAGCGCGCCGCAGGACGGGGCCAAACAGTGGCTGCGAAAGGCCCGCGCAGGCGAGCGACGGCCCCAAGACGTGGCGAGGCTTCCGGCTGCGCACAGACAGAAGACGAAGCCAGGGCGATGCAAAAAATCTCTGAGGTCCGGCGGCTCTGGAAGATGTCGCGGGCGCCGCGGCCTTCACAGAGCGTTCAGGAACGCTACGAGAGTGTTCTGGATCGCTCTGGAACGGGTTTACCCTCGTCCTCCTAGCCCCGCCCGAAGACACACACCCCAGGCAATCCCAGCTGGCGTCCACAGGTCCCCCAGGTGGCCCGGGACCCGTGGTTGGGGTGTCGAGACTGCCTCAGACTGCTCGGGGGGCCTATCGAGGCTGGCTGAGACCATCTAGGGCGTCCTGTTGAGGCTAGCCGGGACTACCTGGGGGAGCTGACTGCGCGCAACCCGAAGCCTTTCCACCCAGACGCGATAAATAATCACTGCGGGAGATGTTTGGCCGTGTTCGACCTCTCGGACTTCTCGCGGGGCCCCGAGACTCCCTGACAAACGGCTCGGGATGACACATGGGCCTGGGGGAAAGGTCGGGACTTCTGGGGGCCAGGTGTTGAACAAATAGAAAACGCCGCTTGTCTGGGCCTGCGCAGTGGCCTGCGCAGCCATGGAAGGGCGATGAGGCGGGAGGGAGGGATGGAGGGGGTGACGGAGGCCCCCAGGCACGGCTTTCCTCTCGCACGCGGGGGCTGGGGTGACTCCCCCTAGAGAAAATGGTCCTAAACATTGGTACTGGCCATTCACCGGCCCCCGCTTGATGTGGGTGACAAGGAGCGTGAAATCCGCCGACCCTGTCGGCGTGTGTGAGGGACTTGTTCGTTCAAGTCGTCATCTTGTCCGTTCATGTCATCATCTCTGTCGTCCCCTTTCCCTGCCTCCCCCCTTTCCCTGGGCTCGTCGAAGCTCCCCCCTTTCCCAGGGACCTCCTCAGTGCGTCAGCCAACGCGAAAATGAGCAACGTCGAAATTGAGTCGAAGGGAAGCCGCTTCCCTTCGATCCCTCCCCCGCCGAGGGGGGTGGGGGGGTGGGGGAGGGGGGTGGGGTCAGACGCCCCTGGGAGTCCTGGAGTCAAAAAAGCCCCAAGACGGGCCAAGAGTGCCCCAATAGGCCCCAAAGACAATCCAAGAGAACCCCGAATCGCCGAACGATCTGTCCAAGACGTCTTGACGGCCTCAAGACGACCCAAGAGGCCTGCAAAGCGGGCCTCCAGGAGCGTTCCAACGAGAGCCCCAAGACGCAAAATTCATTGATTTCCCATACGTTTTTGACAGATGTTGGCGTTCTTGCCTCTTCCGCTTCCCGACGCGCCAAGACGGCCCAAGACGCCCCCAAGATCGCCCCGAGACGGCCCAAGAGGCCCCCAAGAGGGTCCCCTAATGGCCGAAGAGGGCCCCAAGACGGCCCAAGACGCCTCCAAGACGGCCCAAGAGGCCCCCAAGACGGCTCCAGGAGAGTGCCCAGACGGGGGACCCGAACGGACTTTTCGAGCTATCAGCCCCAAGAGGCCCCCTAGCGGCCCCGAAGAAGCCCTAAGAGGCCCCAAGAGACTCCCAAAGGGGCCCCCAAAACTGCCCCAAGACAGCCCAGGAGAAGCCCAAATTGTCCAGGAGGCCTCCAACAGTGCCTCGAGACGGCGCAAGAGGAGCCCTGGACGGCCCAAGACGTTCTCAAGAGAGCCCCAGGCTGTCCCAAGAAAGCCTCTGGCCGCCTCCTCTTCCTCCTCCTCCTCCTCCTCCTCCTCCTCCTCCTTCTCCTCCTCCTCCTCCCCCTCCCCCTCCTCCTCTTCCTCCTCCTCCTCCTCCTCCTCCTCCTCCTCCTCCTCCTCCTCCTCCTCCTCCTCCCCCCCTCTGCTCCCCCTCCTCCTGCTCTCCTCTGTCTCCTTCTCCTCCTCTTGCTTCTCCTCCACATCCTTCTCCCCCATCCTCC